CAGAAACACAGATTGTACCGGGGGAAAGTTTGAGTGTTTGAAAGAAAATATTTGCCAGACATATATCCAATAGTGAATTGATGTATTCAGCACACTCTACAAATCAAGAACCCAAAGACACCAGAAGACCACCTGAAGAGCTTTGATGCCTTGATGGCGACCAGACAGTATTTTCCTCCTCAATGTGTCCTATGTGAAAATTTGAACCCGCAGAAAAGTTGAAAGAATTGTACAAGAAAAACAGGTTCATTACCTGCATCTTCCATTAGCCAGTGACTCTCCTGGTTTTTTTGGTTGGTTAGTTGGTTGGGTTTTTTTTTTTTTTTTGGGGGGGGTGGCTTTTTGGCTTGATGAGACAAGGTTTCTCTGTGTAGCCCTGGCTGTCCTGGAACTCACTCTGTAGAGCAGGCTGACCTCTAACTTACAGTGATCTGCCTGCCTCTACCTCCCCAGTGCTGGGATTAAGGACGTGCACCACCATCCCTGGATTTCTCCTGGTTTTATCATGTCGCTATCCTTCTGACTACCTGTCCATCCCTCTGTCTAGCCATCTGTCCGTTCAGCTGATTTCTTTGTTGATTTTCAGAGCGTGTTGCAGATACCAGTATAAGTCACACTGAGCCCTTCAGTAGGCTTATCACTATTAAGCAGGATTCAGTGTTTACTGCAGGTTATTTTAAGTAAAACATACATACAGTGACATTTACAGAGTTTAAATGTACCATTCAGTGAGCTTTGGAGAGCTGGGTCAGGCCCAGAGGACTGTGGGTCTTCTGCAGTAATGGTGAGAGTCAGTTCAGTGGTGCCAGGGAGGCAGGAATCAAGGACTTTTCATAAGGTCCAGGACGAAGATACCTGAAAACCAACAAAATCCAAGAGAGAAGGGTATGGAACCAGGGCATGAACTCCAAAGGTCCTGGGGATTTGAAAAAGAGAGGCAGGGCTAGCGAGGTGGCTCAGAGATTAAAAGCACTCTGGCGCTTCCAAGGTCCAGAGTTCAATTCCCAGCACCCACATGGTGGCTCACAACTATAGTGAGATCTGGTGCCCTCTGCTGGCGTGCAGGTGAACATGCAGACAGAATGCTGAATACATAATAAATAAATCGAGAGCGGGGAGGGCAGAGGCCAGGCCACAGAGTGCAGCCTCTCTGAGACCTAGCCTCGGAATGATCAGATTTGGGGCACTTCCTTAGGTCTCTGGGTTGGCACAGGCCTCTAGTGTGGGTCATGCCATCACTTCTTCCCTGCCATGCTCCACGTGGTGAGATCAAAGCGGGCCGGCAAAGCTCACCGATGGCGGGTGTGCAACAGCGGCCCTTGGGTAAGGCAGGTGGCTGCTCTTGCAATGTGAGGGTCTCGGCCAGCCCTGACACTGGCCTCCCCTTGATGTCTAGGGATGATGGGGGTTACGGGGGGAGGAGTGCTGTACCTCCTAGGGAGACCTGAGCAGTGACTCACAGCCCAGAAAGGCATAGAGTCATCCTGGCATGGGGTTGTCCCAGGAACCTCTGGCTTTGGTACCGGCAGGGGAGTGTCCTTTATGAAGCCTCCTCTGTGATGCTTAAAATGGAAAGCATGAATTCAGTATCGGGCATGATGTCAGTGCCGAGTGATCCAACACTGAATGCCACTCTCCCTCGGGGGCCAGGGCTCAGAGGCAGGCGGCTCCCCACAGGAAGGCTGGCTAGGTGCAGACCTGCAGCAAGAGAACCTGTTTGTTCTGGGGCCCTTAGAGCTTTCTGGCAGCCTTCTTCCCTGGGATCGTCCAATATACGGACCTACGTGAGACTGATACACAGTGGCACACCCCGGGCCGCCGCTGGCCTTGTGAGAAGGGTCTCTGTTAAAGCCCATCTCAGGGAATCTGCCCCTACTTCCCTTGATGCCACAGAAACCAGTAGAAACAGGGAGGGGCTGTTGCAGACAGATCACTCACAACTTAGGGTTCCCAGAACCTGCTGCCTGGTCCCCTGGTCTTGGGAAGCTCCGCTGCTCTTCTCCACACTGAACAGTTTGTGTAAACGAGCAGATGGGAGACTCTTCTTTCAGACAAAGTCCTCTCCAGGCCATGGAGCACGTAGGGCCATGCCTCTGCACATCCCGGCATGCTCCTGGTGGAGTGGGCAGACTGTGGAAATTCTCATTCCTGCAGCTCCTTTCCCTCTCCCAAACCACCTCGACCCTGCGCATGGCTCCATGCCTGCTCTCCCCTACTACCTTACGGGCACGCGCTGGGCTGGGGTTCAGAGAATAGACGGAGGGCCCTGCCAACCTTCTGAGATGGCGGGATGGCTCCGTTGCTGGCAAGAAGCGTCAGGTCGATGACAGTTGGTGCCATCTACCTTAGGTCAACTTAGTGAGATACCTCCAGCTCCACTTTTGGATCCAGGGACATGAGGCACAGGCTGTGCGCATCTCCTGGGCCAGTGCCTGGTCAGGACAGCAGGACCCGGAGGGGATCTCTGTCGTACTAGTGGAGGAGTACATCCCTCAGATTCTGGTGGACAGCTCAGAGGACCCTAAGAGTCACAGAGCCTCCTGATGCGCAGTCTCTGCATGCAGCGAAGGAAGGCCACAGCTGCCATTGGTCTTGAGGCCAGAGTCTCTCCCACAGCACCCTCCCCGCCTCCCTGCCTGCTTGGACAGGTGGGTGGGGTGCAAAGCTGCCACCTCTGACTCTCGTCCCACAGCATGTCATGGTAGAGGCCCTGGAGAAGGGAGAAGAGGCTACGATAGGACGTTCCTAGCAAACCCCTGGAGCCCTTCTGGGAGGCAGAAAGAAAGGTCTTGCTGAGTTCAGAGAGCCCCCTCTGCCAGGGACCTCCTCAGGAGGCCTCTCGAACCAGGTCTTATCTGCCCGAGCCTGAGCCTGGGAGACACTGGGGGAGGACACGGTCAAGGCTCCTTGCCGCCGTCTGGAAAAGGCTGGATAGAAATAGCTGCGCCCATCTGGCAGATGAGTCACTGAGGGGTGTTTCAGCCATTTCTTGAAGAGGTCCTATTTTAGGTGAGATGCCTGTGATGGGGGTGGGGAAAGAAAGGTGCTGGTGTTAAGTATGAGAGGTTATTTTTTATTTGTTTTTGTTTTGTTTTTTTCCACATGCCTTTGTTTAGTCCTATCCAGATCCAAGGGGCAGGGTCACCGGGAAGTCCCCAAACAGGAAACCTGCCTCCCAGATGCCGGGAAGTTAGGTGCACAACTGGATTGGAACATTGGGTGTGGTCTAGGCCTCTAACTGCCACAGGGATGGGCTTGGTGGCTGCTACCCTGGGCCAGAGAACGAACGGGCCCCCGTTAGAGAGCAAAGCCCCCTGTAGAACCTCTCATCAGATGAGCAGAAGCAGCCCCTGAGAACTTTGATGAACGTGGGCCCCTCCCCACCTAGAATGAACGTTCTAGGAGGGTACCAGGGACTGGAAACGTTTTCCTGTGGCTTCCTCTGTCCAGTGTAGACAAAGTCCCACTGGGGGTTCGAAAGCGCAGGGGTGGGTTAACAGTACCCAGCTGGGGCTAGGCTGCCTCAGCCTCACTGTTCTTAGGTTCTAGGGCTGGGTTTGGTCTTTCGAGTAGACAGATATTCTGGTGTCTGCAGGGGTGGATTCTAGACTCTGAACTTGGCCTTTATAAAGTTAAGTGGCCATCAGAAGAGGTGAGGCTAGCACTGGGCTCCAGTTGACCCAGCCTGGGAATCAGGAGTTAAATGGGGCCACAGGGGCTGCTCACACCTGCGGCATTCCTTACCCCACTGACCACGAGAGCACACTGCTAATTCATTCCCTCCTTGGCTTCCTCTGCACCGAGGACAAATGCCCCTAGGGTGCTGGGCACAAAGGGGTGCTCACCACAATGTGACATTCCCCCCATCTTTGGGTGCTGCTCTTGGGCTTCGGGGCAGGATGCCTGAGCTCAGACTCCCCATCTGACAAGCCACCTGGTAGCAGAGACCCGTGGCCGCCTTGGGGCCTCATGAGCCTTGAGGCTCACTTGGCATAGCAGGAGATCCAGTGTGTCAGGGATGAGGTAGCCAAGGGAGGATGACAGGAAAAGAAGCCAGGAGGAGAGCAAGGCTGGGGTGGTTGTGAGGTCACGGCGAAGGGCTTCCCTAGTGTGCTGAGAAAGGGCTTAGACGGGTTTGAGTCCATAGGTGCTATGTCCCAATTTATAAGCAGTTTTATTTGGCAGGAAAAGGTGGTACTTAGGAGACTAGAAATTCGAAAGACTAGAAATGTCTCAATTCTGTTACTCCTTTAGAACACAGGTGACACGGAAGACTCAAAATTGTCCTATAGCACGGTCCCATGTCCGTCCCTGTACAGGTTCGTGGCAAAGGGAAACTACAACATGAATTTCAGTATCTGTCTTGTCCCATTATTATGCCATTTTCCTTGTCTTGTGGTTGGAGATACAGTGCTTGCCTGACATGCGTGTAGCCCCGGGTTTGATCACAGAGACCATAAAGCAAGCAATAGCATAATCCCCAAATTCAAAGAAAATCAAGTCTTCAATCAGTGGCTGGAGAGATGGCTCAGAGGTTAAGAGCACCGTCTGCTCTTCCTGAGTTCAATTCCCAGCAACCCCATGGTGGCTCACAGCCATATGAGATCTGATGCCCTCTTCTGGAGTGCAGGTGTACCTGCAGATAGAGCTCTCATATACATAAAAAAATCTTAAAAAGAAAAAAGTCTTCAATCAGTCATATCTCAGTGGTGCTTCTCAGTTACTCTCAAGAGTTTTAGTTATGTACCTTGGCCCTTCTGTGAAAATATAAGATCTTCCAGGGCAGGACTCATATCATGGCCTCTTTTTATTCCTTATGCTTTCCTCTCTCACCCAGCACTTGTTATTTACTGATTCTGCATGGTGTGTGCGCACCTGCCTGCCTGCCAGCCAGCCAGCCTGTCTTCGGTGCAGATAATGACCTCAGGAACCGTCCGTCCTGGCAGCAGCCTGCGCCCTGTGCACTCTGCCCCTGCTGACTGTGTCGTTTCTTCCCTCAGGTGAAGGAATGGCTCTGTTTGAACTGTCAGATGCAGAGGGCTCTGGGGATGGACATGACCACTGCGCCTCGATCCAAGAGCCAGCAGCAGTTGCACTCCCCGGCCCTGTCTCCCGCCCACTCCCCAGCCAAACAGCCTCTGGGGAAGCCAGAACAAGAGCGATCTCGGGGTCCAGGGGCCACACAGTCTGGTCCCCGCCAGGCTGAAACAGCCAGGGCCACCTCAGTGCCTGGGCCTACCCAGGCAACTGCTCCTTCAGAGGTGGGGAGGGTGTCTCCTCAGCCCTCTCTCTCCACCAAGCCTTCCACAGCTGAGCCCAGGCCACCTGCAGGAGAGGCCCAGAGCAAAAGTGCCACCACAGTGCCCCCCGGGCTTGGTGCTGGTGAACAGACCCAGGAGGGCCTCACCGGGAAGCTCTTCGGCCTCGGAGCATCGTTGCTGACCCAGGCGAGCACCCTTATGTCTGTGCAGCCAGAGGCTGACACCCAGGGCCAGCCTTCCCCTAGTAAGGGGCCACCCAAGATTGTCTTCAGTGATGCCAGCAAGGAGGCTGGTCCAAGAGCCCCAGGCTCAGGGCCTGGGCCTGGGCCAACACCTGGAGCCAAAACTGAGCCTGGGGCTAGAACAGGTCCTGGATCAGGGCCTGGAGCTCTGGCAAAAACTGGAGGAACAGCCAGTCCAAAGCATGGCAGAGCAGAACACCAGGCAGCACCCAAGGCTGCTGCCAAGCCAAAGACCACGCCGAAGGAAAGGGCCGCCTGCCCACTGTGCCAAGCCGAGCTCAACGTGGGTGGCAAGGGCCCCGCCAACTACAACACCTGCACCAGCTGCCGGCTGCAGGTGTGCAACCTCTGCGGCTTCAACCCAGCGCCCCACCTGGTGGAGGTAAGAGCCGGGCAAGCACATTCCCGTGGACTCTGTTGAGGGGCCTAGAGTACGGGGAAAGGAGGGGCAAGGGAGCCAGGATGGGCCCAGGGAGACGCTGCAGCAGACCAAGGGCCACTCAAACAGCCAATGCTACAGAGGGATCAAAACCCACTTCCTGGCCCCTGCCTCATGCTCCAGTCCTACCCAGAACTGTCACAGTCGGTGCGGTGACGGTCGGCAATGGTTCTCGCTGGCTGGCCAGTGCTGTGGGGCTGAGTCCAGGCTCAGGGGCCCTCAACTGGCCTTGCCATTTCCAGCCGCCCAGAGCGTGAGCTTAATGAAAGATGTCAGCCTCTCGGATCAGGTAGGAAGAGCCTGAGGTCCCATCCTGCTCTGGACCTCTGATTCTCACAAAGGTAGGGAGCCGAAGGCCAGGGGGCAGATGGCTGTGCCCTACCATGCAGGCTTTACACTTGATCCTCTCTCTCTTAAGGTCACGAGTGTAAATGTTTACTTGTCAAAGCCCTAACCTTTCATCGCGTTTTCCTTCATCGAGTTTTCCTGTGGGCAGGCCTGAGCTCTCCTAAGAGAAAGGAAGCTCAGAACTGCTTTTTTTTTCTCCCTAGGAAAGTTTGAGGGGAAACTAGGGTTGAAGATACCTGTTCCTCTGTTCGTGCTCCAGGAATGTGTCCTGGGGCCTGGGCAGAGTCAAGTACAAAGGAGAAGGAGGCCTGTTGTTAGGCCTATTACTCTTGGCAAGCTGGGAGTCCAGGGAGACCTGAAAGACAGAGGTGCCCGACAGAGCTAGACCATGCTGGGCCTTGTGACTCTGCTTGCTCTTGCCCCAATCCTTCCCCTCGCCAGGGACCACCATGGCTACTTTTGGCGCGTCTGAGCATGATGCGATTCGATTGGCTCCTTGTAGCCAGTGGATAAACGTCATGTCAGATTACTGGGCCAAGGGCCCTTCATGTGGGCAGCTGCCTAAGCTGATTGTCGGTTGAGGCGTGCATGGCTGATGATGGGGCAGGGGACACAATCCCCCACAGTCCAAAGTGGGACAAGAGGGAAGACATGGAGTTGCCGCTGTCTCTGCGGCACCTTGTTCCGACCTCCTGCAGATGGCCCTCCTTGAGAACCAAACCTATTGGCTAAGAAAAACTTGACCACCACAGGCCTTATTGACCTCCCACAGCGCTCAGGGAGAAGCAGCCCTGAGGAAGGTGAATGGCCTCCTTCTGTGACCCCTCAGGCCAAACACTACTCTCTCTCCAAGCTGTAGAGTCAGTGGCTCACTGGAGGACGCTTGGCCTGGCCAGCACCGGGGGAAAGGATCTATCAAGGAGTCTCCAGAGCCTGCTTTGCCAAGACACTTACAGGTCTATGCTCACTGCTGGTCAGATGTAGGGCTCTGACACTGAGGGCCTGTGAGCCCTGGTGGACTCTTGGGCTGGCCTGGTTTGGAAGCCCGTTATCCCCAAGAGAAATCTCAGCCCAATTTCCCCATTAAGCAGAGTGTGTCCAGAGGGAAGGGAAACTGTCTCTCCAGGAGCATAAATGCTCTTGACCGCTGTTTTTGGCAGCCCCTGAGGCAGGCCACAGGAAATGCTGGAGCACCCCAAAACAGAAGTGTTCCAGTGACGCTCCCATGCTCTGCTGTGTCATGCCATTCTCAGGGCTACTGCTTCTCAGTGCCGCCTTGCCTCCAGAGTCCTATAGGCTCCATGGACCCGAATGCCCACTGATGGGGTCCCAGCTCCTCCCGAAGTCAGGCCATCCATCTCTTTCTCACTGTCTCTCTCTCTCTTTCTCTCTTTTCTCTCTCTCTCTCTCTCTCTCTCTCTCTCTCTCTCGGTTTTGGTTGTTTGAGGCAGGGTTTCTCTGTGTAGCCCTGGCTGTCCTGGACTCACTTTGTAGATCAGGCTGGCCTCAAACTCAAAGATCCACCTGCCCCAGCCTCCTGAGTGCTGGGATTAAAGATGTGTGCCACCATGCCTGGCCAGTAAATATATATAATTCTGTGTGTTTTGTCTGCATGCATGCGGTGCCTGAGGAGGCCAAAAGAGACATCAGGTCACCTAGAATTGGAGTTACAGACTGCCATGTGGGTGCTGAGACTTGAACCTGGGTCCTCTGGAAGAGCAGTCAGTGCTCTTAATCACTGAGCCATCTCTCTAGCCAGCCCCAAAATCAATCTTTTTTTTTTTTTCAAGAAAGGATTTGTCCTGGAACTCGCTCTATAGACCAGGCTGGCCTCAAACTTAGAGATCTGCCTGCCCCTGCCTCCCAAGCACTGGGACTAAAGGCGTGCGCCACCAACAGCTTCGCCTTTCTTTCAGTAGCTCTGTTGCTGTGGCTGTCCTCAGAAGGGCTGTGGCTGCCTTGAGGATGATGTGGGCCAGCAGCCGTGATGCCCCTTCCTGTGGAGACCTAACTGTTGTCTATCATCAGGGATCCAAGGCAGCAGTCCAGAGCCATCCTCGGCTCCACCCACCTCAGCATCCACTCCACAGACCCAGCACCCATAGCCCCGCATGCTGCTGTCTCCACTGGTCTCCACTCTCCTTCCAGTGGCCTTAGCTCTAAGACACCCCCCCTTCCCTTTCTTCCCAGCCACAAAATGACCACATGTTTACCAAAACTTCCTGCAGGTTCACCGGCCTTGGATCTTATGCATGGCTGGTGGGGACGGGCTGCTGCATGGCGTGACCCCATTCTTCCCCTCCAGCATTGCTTCCCTGAGGTCTGTAACTAGGCCATGGGCATCCTTTGATCTCCCCTCAGTGAATGGTCACTTGTTGTTCTGAGCAAATCTGTGCTTCCCTGTGACCTATTTTTCACTTCCTGGTTAGAGGCTGTGGTTTCTCACAGGTGCTAACGCAGTCACCCTGCCTCGGGAGCGTGCTCGCACGGTCAGCGTGCTGGCTCCCTGTCCAGCTCATAGGGCCGGTCTTCTGGGCTGAGGCCAGCTTGCTAGCTCAGCATGACTGAGCTGTGTCTCTGGATGTAGCGTGAGGCAGGCTACCCCTGTACAGGGAGGGACAGGCTCACAGCTCCCCGTGTGCCCAGTAGACCTGTTGGGGTTCACCTGAGGCCAGACCAGCCGCTTGGCCATTTTCCTCAACATCTGCAGCTATGAAAGTCTTTTTTCTTCTTTCTAGAGAGAGTCCAGAGAATAATCACTAAAATAGAAGAATCACTAAAATTGGAACAATTTTTACTTGAAACTTTCTCCCAAAAAAAAAAAAAAAAGCATAGCGCTATTTAATGAGTCATTTAATAATTAAGAGTGCTGACTCCAACTTTTTAAAGCTATTTATCTTTTTGAAAGATAATAGTACCCTCTGGGTTATTTTCTAATTGACTCTCAGTTCAATGGTGTGAAGAAATTAGTGGAACTGTTACCGTAATAGCACCAGTTTCCTGTTATCGTGGTCAAAATGTCAGCTGTGCCCTTCAAAACCAGGCTTCCCTGGGCAAGCGGCCTTCCACCTGTAATATTCAGGGCTAGCCTGGGCTTCTGAACAGAGAGGCCACAGTGTGGGCATCAGGCACAAGGCACACAGCTGCCTCCTGCTTCACCTCAGGCCTCCTCCGGGGTGGCAATCAGACTCCCGTCTCTTCCCACGTGAAATGGGAGCAGGAATTCTCTTAGGTGTCCATGTGAGCTGCTGTAGGTCCTTACAGTGCTCCATCCTTAAGTCAGAATAGTGCAACCAAGGTTTCCTGAAAGAGAGTGTCCATGAGGGGAGGAAGGCCCCTCTCAAGCCCCCTATGATCTGGATGTCAGTGAGTGTGTGGCAGTCCAGGCTCTGGGACTCCCAAGGAGTACTGTGCAGGGAATGAAGACCTTTGGCGATAGGGCATGAGGGGAGCACATCTCAGCTTCATGGGAGCACACTGAAGACACTGGGTAAGGTTCTCCTTATAGGAGGCAGAAAGGAGGAGCTTGGACACATACAGGGACATGGGATGGACGCTCCATAGTCAGGAAAGGACCAGCAGCACTGGCTGGCTGTGCCTATGACCCAGAATCCGAGTCTTTACCTTTGGCTTTTCTTTTGTGGGGTCTTTTTGAGGGAGGAGGTTGGTTCTATGAAACAGAATCTCACTTTTTAGCCCAGGCTGGCCTCAAACTCAAAGTAACTTTCTTGTCTCGGCGTCCCCAGATTATAGGCATGAGCCACCATCCTCAGCTCCCGCTGGGGCTTTTACTCCCTGCCCTCTGGTCCAGCAGTGTATGTGCCTAGGTAGCTGGCTGTGAGGCGGAGATCAGGGTGGTGTCTCCATACCTGGCTCCACAGATAAAGAAAACCTGTGGCCCGTGGCCTCATTCAGACGCCCAGCGTCCCACACAGCCCACGGTCTCCTTGTCCTCACTGGCCAGTGGTTCAGAAGCCCACACTCCTCACATGCTTTGGGGTTACCCCATACTTTCTCCCCTAACATCCTTCACCTTCTGTGTGGATTGAGAACAGCAATGGTCGCCCTGGTTTCCATGGGAATCGAGTAAGGTGCTGTAAGTACTTGCATAGCAATTGTGCGAACATGCCGCCTTGAACAACTGAGCTCCTCCGGTACATCTGCACATCCCAGCTCGAGCTAATGGTTGTTCTTGGGGAGAGGTGTACCTTCCTGTCCCCAAAAGGACTAACGGACAAGGCAGAGGTGATTATCAGGCTCCCCATTGTCCTTTCTCTGGCTGCTTACCAAAAGAGCAAAGGGGACGGATAGGCAGCCATCTCCCACCGCTGAAGCTGGGTGAGGGAGATATTCGTATTCTTAGTGTGGGGAATGACTGAAGTAAGAAAGTCAGAAAAAAGTGATGAAGGGCTGGAGAGACAGCTCAGCTGTTAAGAGCGCCGACTGCTCTTCCAGAGGACCTGGGTCCAATTCCCAGCAACCACATGGCAGGAACAACAGTCTGAAACTCCAGCTCCAGGGGAGCTGACACCTTCCCTCACACAGACACACATGCAGTCAAAACCCCAACACACTGAAAATTTGTGAGAGAATAAGTGGGCAAGAAGAGGAAGGAGAGGAACGAGTAGGGGTGGGGTAGGAGACATTGACATGGGGCTGAGATGTGGGTAGACTCACTGAATGACTGAGAACCTCAGCAACTGTGCCCCAGCTCCCAGGCACAGAGGCTCTGCATGGCCCGCTTCTCAGCCCCGGGACCCAGGAAGTGTCTGGCTCCTCTCCTCCCAGCCCAGTGCCGGTGTGCCTCTCCTCCCACTCCCGGTGGGGAAGGGCCTCCAGCAGCCAGGTCAAGTGCTTATTTTTAGCTCTTACTTCCCACACCACCTTCTCCCCACCCGCCCCTTCTTGCTGCTACTAAAGCAGAGCCAGGAGCAAGAGAGCCACCAGGAAGCCTTTCTGAAAACCCGCTGCTTCCCTGAATAAACCTGTGAAGGAGCAAAGCCCCAGATAGCCTGTGACCAGAGGTGACATGCCCTACTAAAGGCCTTACTTGTGGGCACAGAGAAGCAGGCCTCTGCAGGGACTGGCCCTGGACATTGGGTTTGCCTTTGTCCATGCTACCCTCCCAAGGTATCTTCACTATTTTTTAGATTGCTTGCCTCGGGGGTGGGTTCTGTAGGCCAGAAGGGGTCCAGAGGTTTGTCTGAGGCAGCAAAGGCAATGGGACACCATTTTTTCCTATACCTTGCCTCTGTGACCCTGTGGCTCTCATGATTCCTCCTCCTGGCACAGCTCCTGGCAGGAGCTCCTGTCTAGGCACCCAGGATGAGCAGCAGTATAAAAGGAAGGGGTGCCGAGCTTTCGCACCTCAGGGGCAAGAGTGGACTGTAGGGTTCTGATCTGGGCTGGGCTGTAGTCCTCATTTCCCATCACCTCATGTAGCCAAGGCAGGGCATCAGATTCTGGTCCTGGGAGATCTCCTGTCAGCCGAGCCCTGCTGCAGGAAGCCACCCACTCAGGGACCTGGGATGCCCATGTCATAGCCCTGTGCAGCCAGCTGGGATTTGAAGAATTGGTTTGTAGCAGTCTGAGGACTTACTGCAGATTCCTGGGTTACATTCACTGTGGCTTGTTTGGGGCTCTATGTTCTTGCAAGGACCTATGCCAATCACTTTTCTCATCACAGTGACCAAATTCCTGACAGAGGTGACTCGAGGGAGGAGAGGCTTGTTTTGACTCACAGTTTGGAGGGCCATGGTAGTTGGGGTAGCTCTGTTGTGGCAGCGGGAGCTTGTGGCACAGCCTCTTCACATCTTGTCAGATCTGGAGCCAGAAGTAGGTGTCACACCTTCAAAGTCCTCCCCCTGTCAGCTGACTTGTGCTCATTGGGATCCACGCCCAAAGGTTCCACAACCTCCCAAGCAGCACAGCCAGCTGCGGACCAAGGATTCAAATGCACAAGCCTATGGGGAACAGTTCACATTTGGTCCTCACTTGTCTGTCTTCATCATGACTGTGTCTTCAGCCTTTAGCCCTGGTCCTGAAACTGTGGGTGGTTTTGAAGAGAGGTGGCTGCTGATAAGAACTCATCCCACTCTGGCTCTGGACGGAGCAGGGCTCTTGGATGCGGGAGGAGTGCCTTTCTGTGGAGTTCTTTCCTAGCCTTAAACAAGGAGACTTGGGCTGAAAGTGTGAGCAAAGAAGACTGCTCAGCACTGAGTCCAAACAGGGCTTTACCTAGCAAGTCTTTCCTGGCCCCAGGAGTCTGCCCCAGCTGAGCAAAGCCCTTCCTCGGAAGGAAATGGAAGGGTAGCGTCAGACCCCAGCACTAGGAGGCGGGGAAGGGCAGCGCCTCTCTAACACCTTCCCCTCTGGGTCTGAATGCCATTCCTGTTCTGCAGTGCATCTTGGCTGCTGGACCCCTGCAGCCCATCAATTGCAATTCAGTCCTTGAGGTCGGGGCCTTGGCTTTCCTTGTGTTTCATCCCAAGCCTTTGAAACTTGCATGGTCTTTTCCTCCCTCTTAATTGTTCCCCTTTTCTGGCCCAGTGAAAATTTCTCTATGGGTTAAGAGGAGAACCTTGTTTCTAACTTGTCATTTACATTTGATATATGTCCCTGAGAGGTTTATGATTTGGGGACAATGTATCTGTCAGTTTTTTCCCTCTGTAATGCCTTTGGTATCCTGCTTTGAAAGACTTGCTCAGGCTCAAGGAATGGCTCAGTGCTAAAATGTATGTCTTAAGGTTCAGTCTACCAAGAGAGAGGTCTGTCTCCTCCCTAAGGTTGTGGAGAATCATGGGAATACTCTGTTCACTCTTGTATCTGTGATTCTCATCAGCCTCCCTCCTGTTTCCTTACAGAAATCAGAGTGGCTCTGTCTGAACTGCCAAACCAAGCGGCTGCTGGAGGGTGGCCTCGGGGAGCCAGCCCCGCTGCCACTGCCCACTTCACAGCAACCCCCTGCAGGAGTCCCTCACCGTGCAGCTGGAGCAGCCCCTCTGAAGCAGAAAGGGCCACAGGGGCTGGGCCAGCCCTCAGGCTCCCTGCCTGCCAAGGCCAGCCCTCAGGCCACCAAGGCCAGCCCTCAGGCCACCAAGGCCAGCCCTCAGGCCAAGCCCCTTAGGGCTTCTGAACCCAGTAAGACCTCTAGCAGTGCCCAGGAAAAGAAGACAGGAACCCCTGCTAAAGCTGAGCAGAAGCCACCTGCAGAGACTACCGTGCCTCCCGGGACTCCGAAAGCAAAAAGCGGGGTGAAAAGGACTGAACCTGCTACTCCAGTCACCAAGCCTGTTCCAGAAGCTCCCAAGGGTGGGGAGGCTGAGGTCAGTTCCATTTAACGTCCAAGGATCCTAGCTGTCAGAGAGTTCGAGGAAGGGCGCGCCTCCCTAAGGGGCTCAGGATGAGAGCCTGAGACAGATCTATTGGGACCAGCTGAGACACCCTGATCGAAAAAGCAGTCTAGATAAGAATTCAGGAGGTCACCGGGTGCGGTGGCTCATGCTTCTAATCCCAGCACTTCCAAGGCAGAGAGAGTCAGATCTTGGTGAGTTCGAGGTTAGTGTGGTCTACACAGTGAGTTCCAGGATAGCCAAGGCTATATAGAGAGACCCTGTCTCAAAAATAAATAAATAAATAGATAGATAGATAGATAAATAAATAAATAAATAAATAACAACAAACAACAAACACAAAGTTGGGCAGGTCTGGAGATGGCGAGATCGAGACGTCGATCCCACAGACGTCCTGAGTCTGGCATTTTGCTCGTTTCCCACCCTTTGGTCTAGTAAAGTTTCTCTTTGAAGGTCTCGATCTTGCTGTGGAATCTGTAAGTCACTGAGGGCCAGAGCCCTTGGGACATGGAGGGCCCCTTCCCGGGTCCCTGGGATTGACAGAGAGGGCTGGGGTAAGCGTCTGCTTTTCGCCCCCTGCAGGAACCAGCCAGCAAGCCTTACTCGCAGGACCTGTCTCGAAGCCCACAGAGCCTGAGCGACACCGGCTATTCCTCTGACGGCGTCTCCAGCTCCCAGAGTGAGATCACGGGGGTCGTCCAGCACGACGCGGAGCAGCTTGACAGCGCAGGGGTGACGGGGCCCCGCCCGCCCAGCCCCTCGGAGCTGCACAAAGTGGGGAGCAGCATGCGCCCCTCCCTGGAGGCCCAGGCGGGGGCGCCCGGCGGGGAGTGGAGCAAGCCACCCCGCGGCAGCGCCCCTGAAGACCAGAAACGGCGTCCCCACTCCTTGTCCATCATGCCCGAGGCCTTCGACTCTGACGAGGAGCTGCAGGATATCCTCGAGGAGGAGGAGGCCTCCCTGGCGTGGGGGCGGCGGAGGGAGCCGCAGGACACGGCCGAGTCTTCCGACGACCTCGGCAGCCAGCTGAGGCACGACTACGTGGAGGACAGCAGCGAGGGCGGCTTGTCCCCTCTCCCACCCCAGCCCCCGGCCAGGGCAGGGATGACGGACGAGGAGTTCATGCGGAGGCAGATCCTGGAAATGAGCGCCGAGGAGGACAACCTGGAGGAAGAGGACGCTGCGGTGTCCGGGCGGGGCCCGGCCAAGCAGAAGGGAGGCGCCAGGCCCAGGCCCGAATCCAGCCAAGAGCCGCCCAGGAGGCGCCTCCCCCACAACGCCACCACGGGCTACGAGGAGCTCCTGGCCGAGGGGGGCCCAGCGGAGCCCGACGGCGGCGCCCTGCAGGGCGGCCTCAGGCGCTTCAAGACCATCGAGCTCAACAGCACGGGCGGCTACGGCCACGAGCTGGACCTGGGCCAAGGCCCCGATGCCAGCCTGGACCGCGAGCCCGAGCTGGAGATGGAAAGCCTCACGGGCTCGCCGGAAGACCGCTCCCGCGGGGAGCACTCCTCCACCCTGCCAGCCTCCACGCCCAGCTACACGTCGGGCGCCTCGCCCACCTCCCTGTCCTCCCTGGAGGAGGACAGCGACAGCAGCCCGAGCCGCCGGCAGCGGCTGGAGGAGGCCAAGCAGCAGCGCAAGGCCCGGCACCGCTCCCACGGGCCCCTGCTGCCCACCATCGAGGACTCCTCGGAGGAGGAGGAGCTGCGGGAGGAGGAGGAGCTGCTCCGCGAGCAGGAGAAGATGCGGGAGGTGGAGCAGCAGCGCATCCGCAGCACCGCCCGCAAGACCCGGCGCGACAAGGAGGAGCTCCGGGCCCAGCGGCGGCGCGAGCGCTCCAAGACGCCGCCCAGCAACCTGTCGCCCATCGAGGACGCGTCCCCCACCGAGGAGCTGCGGCAGGCGGCCGAGATGGAGGAGCTGCACCGCTCCTCCTGCTCCGAGTACTCCCCGTCCCCGTCCCTCGACTCGGAGGCCGAGGCCCCGGACGGCGGCCCCGCCCGACTCTACAAATCGGGCAGCGAGTACAACCTGCCCGCCTTCACGACCCTCTACTCGCCCACCGAGGCCCCGACGGGCGGCGCCGCCGCGCCCAGCGCCGGGCGGCCCCTGAAGAGCGCCGAGGAGGCCTACGAGGACATGATGAGGAAGGCCGAGCTGCTCCAGCGGCAGCAGGGCCAGGCGGCGGGGGCCCGGGGCCCCTTCGACTACCAAGACCCCCGGGAGCACGGCTACGGCAGGGCGCCCCCGCCCGCCGAGGGCCCGCCCGCAGGCCCGGGCGCCGCCTACGCCGACGGCCTCCCGCCGCAGGCCCCGGCGCGCACGCGGCAGGCCTCCCCGCGGGACCTGGCCCTGGCGGAGGACAAGAAGAAGGAGGCGCAGTTTCTGAACGCCGACAGCGTGTTCCTGGACCCGATGAGGCAGAACGGCGGCCCGCTCACCCCCGGCACCAGCCCCACCCAGCTTGCTGCGCCCGTGTCGTTTTCCGCGTCCACCACCTCGGACGGCAGCGGCGGCCGGGTCATTCCCGACGTCCGGGTCACCCAGCATTTTGCGAAAGAGCCTCAGGAGCCCGTCAAGCTTCACAGCTCTCCCGTCTCCCCGGGCCTGGCCTCCAAGGAGGTGGGCGTGACCTTCGCCCAGGGCCCAGGGCCCCCAGCCACCACAGCCGTGGCCCCTTGTCCAGCCAGCCTCCCGCGAGGCTATGTGACTGCGGCCCCCCCAGCGGGCGCCGAGCACGGCCCGTCCCCATCTTCCACAGCTCACAGCCGCGGACAGCCCCCGACCACCGCTAACTATGGGTCCCAGACGGAGGAGCCGCCTCCCGCTCCCGGGGGCCCTGCCGCCAGCGGGCGGGCCTCCAGAGAGAAGCCCCTGAGTGGGGGCGATGCTGAGGCCGGTGCCCCCCAGCCTCCCCGGGGCTATTCTTACTTCACAGGCTCTAGCCCACCTCTCTCCCCGGCCACCCCCTCAGAGAGCCCCACATTCTCACCCGGCAAGCTGGGCCCGAGGCCCACGGCAGAGTTCTCCACACAGACGCCAAGCCCAACACCTCCCTCCGACATTCCACGGAGCCCTGGCGCCCCGTCCCCCATGGTAGCCCAGGGCACACAGACACCACACCGACCTAGCACCCCGCGCCTGGTGTGGCAGCAGTCTTCCCAGGAGGCTCCTGTGATGGTCATCACGCTAGCGTCGGACGCTTCCAGCCAGACCGGAATGGTACACGCCAGTGCCTCCACTTCCCCGCTGTGCTCACCCACCGGCCCGCAGCCCGCCTCCCACAGCTACAGCCAGACCACACCTCCAAGTGCCCCCCAGATGCCCCCCGAACCGGCTGGGCCGCCCGGCTTCCCACGAGCCCCCAGCGCCGGTGCAGACGCGCCGCTGGCACTGTACGGCTGGGGAGCCCTCCCTGCTGAAAACATCTCCTTGTGCCGGATCTCCTCTGTCCCGGGAACTTCTAGAGTTGAGCCGGGCCCCAGGCCCCCGGGCAGCGCGGTGGTAGACCTCCGCACAGCTGTCAAGCCCACGCCCATCATCCTCACCGACCAGGGTATGGACCTGACCTCTCTCGCTGTGGAGGCCAGGAAGTACGGCCTGGCCCTGGATCCAGTTCCAGGACGCCAGTCCACTGCTGTGCAGCCTCTGGTCATTAACCTCAACGCCCAAGAGCAGACCCACACCTTCCTGGCCACCGCCACCACCGTGAGCCTCACCATGGCCTCGTCTGTGCTCATGGCTCAGCAGAAGCAACCAGCGGTGTACGGAGACCCTTTCCAGAGCCGCCTGGACTTTGGCCAGGGTTCGGGTAGCCCTGTGTGCCTGGCCCAGGTCAAGCAAGTAGAGCAGGCTGTCCAGACAGCCCCCTACCGAGGAGGGCCCCGGGGAAGACCCAGGGAGGCTAAGTTCGCCAGGTATAACCTCCCCAACCAGGTCACGCCTCTGGCCAGAAGGGACATTTTGATCACTCAGATGGGCGCCGCCCAGAGTGTTAGCCTAAAGCCAGGACCAGTGCCCGAGCCTGGTGCCGAGCCCCACCGGGCTACTCCTGCAGAGCTCCGGCCACCTGCTCCGCCGGGCGCCAGGAAGCCACACGCAGTGGTGGTGCAGATGGGAGAGGGCGCAGCCGGCACGGTGACTACCCTGGTCCCGGAGGAGCCCGCGGGAGCCCTGGATCTCACAGGGATGAGGCCCGAGAGCCAGCTGGCGTGCTGCGACATGGTCTCCAAGTTCCCCTTCGGCAGCAGCTGCGCCGGCACCTTCCATCCCGCCCCCGGCGCACCGGACAAGACTGTGGCAGATGCCGCCCCGCCTGGCCAGAGCAGCGGCCCCTTCTATAGTCCCAGAGACCCGGAGCCCCCCGAGCCCCTCACCTTCCGGGCACAGGGGGTAGTGGGCCCTGGGTCCCATGAAGAACAGAGGCCCTACCCCCAGGGCCTGCCTGGAAGGCTGTATTCCTCCATGTCTGACACCAACTTGGCCGAAGCTGGCCTCAACTACCATGCACACAGGATCGGGCAGCTCTTCCAGGGCCCTGGGAGAGACGCGGCGGTGGACCTCAGCTCGCTGAAGCACTCTTACAGCCTGGGCTTTGCCGACGGGCGCTACTTAGGGCAGGGCTTGCAGTACGGCTCGTTCACGGACCTGCGTCACCCCACAGACCTTTTGGCGCACCCACTTCCCATGCGGCGCTACAGCTCCGTGTCCAACATCTATTCAGACCACCGCTATGGCCCCCGGGGCGATGCAGTCGGCTTCCAGGAGGCCAGCCTGGCCCAGTACAGTGCCACCACAGCCCGAGAGATCAGCCGAATGTGCGCCGCCCTCAACTCCATGGACCAGCACGGCGGGCGGCACGGCGGGGGCGGACCGGACCTCGTGCAGTATCAGCCCCCGCACGGGCCCGGGCTCAGTGCGCCGCAGGGGCTGGCTCCTCTCAGATCTGGCCTCCTTGGCAACCCCACCTACCCAGAGGGACAACCGAGCCCTGGGAACCTGGCCCAGTACGGGCCTGCGGCGAGCCAGGGCACCGCCGTCAGGCAGCTGCTCCCGTCCACCGCGACCGTGCGCGCAGCGGATGGCATGATCTACTCGACTATCAACACCCCGATCGCCGCCACCCTCCCCATCACCACCCAGCCCGCCTCGGTCCTGCGGCCCCTGGTGCGCGGCGGCGTGTACAGGCCTTACGTGTCCGGCGGGGTCACGGCCGTGCCCCTGAGCAGCCTGACCCGGGTGCCCGTGATTGCGCCCCGGGTGCCCCTCGGGCCAGCGGGGCTGTACCGTTACCCCGCCCCGAGGTTCCCCGTCGCGGCCAGCATTCCCCCCGCCGAGGGGCCCGTCTACCTGGGGAAGCCGGCCGCCGCCAAGGCCGCGGGCACGGGGCCCCCGCCGAGGCCGGAGCCGCCCGCGGGGGCCGCCCGCGAGGAGCCC